TCATGACATTTCAAGGCCACCTGCTTGTCAAGGCTCCTTGGCCTCCTCTTCTTCCTCCTTGGTCCTATTTGTACGTGTGTGTGTGTGTGTGTGTGTGTGTATTCTCTTTGTCCTAGGGCTTGCAGACCTAAACCGTCCCTCATCAGACCCATCAAGCTGCCTCTTGGTTTTCTCTACTTTCATCTCCCATGACTATCTCAAATTTGATCTATCAAAAACTGAACCTACTTACCATCTTCTTCTCCAAACTTGATCCTCACCCACTGCCTTCCATCCCAACATCTCTAGCGTTCATCTACCCACTTGCTCAACTCTTGACTCTAACCCAGTATTCATGGGATGGCAGCAGAAGTCACTGCCTACTATGTGGCCTGGGAAGAGAGAAAGCAGGACTGACACATGACGGAATGAAGGAAACGCACACCATGACCACAGCCAACAATGGAGGGAAAGGTCTGGCTGGGTTCCTTCAAGGGCTTTGTGCTCTCTTCTGGTCCTCTCTTGAGCCTAGCTGCCATACTACCCTAGACTCTCTGAGACTCCAGAATCTTTTCCAATAACCCCTCACTCTTTGTTTTCACTTGTTAGAATGGGTTGTTACACTTACAGCTTGTGTCTTGAATGATATAAACATATTGTGATAGCCAGGATAATTTGCTGCAATAACTAACAACCTCCCATTTAGGTGAGCTAACTCCTGTGTGCGCTCACCACCAGCAGCAACAGTAGCAGCAGCAGGAGGAGGCTCAGCTTACTGTAGGCCTTCAGGAAGCAGTCACCATCTTCAATGTTCCTGATTCCTGTTCTAGAGGGAAAGAACTCTGAGCAGTCTCGACCAGCTAGCTATTCAAGACTCCAGCTGACAAGTGAGCTGCCACCTCCATAACTCATTAACTGGGACAAATTACCTGGCTCTACTCCACTATGAGGGGGCCACAAAGTACATTCCTGCCCTGTGTCCAGAAGGCAGGGAGCCAAAATATGGGTGAGCATTTGGACACTTGCCACTCTCTGTTCTACACTAGGCTCTGAGCTAGTGGCCTGGGATAAATGAGTCATGGTCCCCTTCTCTGTTCATGTATTTTTAAAACTAAGCTTTATTTTTGACTAAAAATAACTGTACATCTTTATGGGGTATGGTGTGATGTTTTGATATGTTTACATTCTGCACTGATCAAATCAAGGTAACAAACATTGACTTAAATATTATTTCCTTGTGTTACTAACATTTAAAATCGGAGCTAGAGAGATAGCTCAGCAGCTAAAAGTGCATACTGTTATTGCAGAGAACCTAAGTTCTATTCCCAGCACCCACATCAGGTCGCTCACAACTACTTACAACTCCAGCTCCAGGGGTTCTGATGTCTCTGGTGTCTGCAGGCACCTACCCCACCCCCATATATATACATAAAAAGATGGTCCAGCTGGGTGTGGTGGCTCACACCTTAATCCCAGCATTCAGAAGGCAGAAGCAAGTGGATCTCTCCAAGATTGAGACCAGTCTGGTCTACATAAAAAAAGACAAAAAAAAAAAAAAAAAAAAAAAAAAAAAAAAAAAAAAAAAAAAAAAAAAAAAAAAAAACATTCAAAAATCCTCTCTCCTAGCTTTGAACTATATGCTTAGCATGTTGCACCTGTTGACAGGTTAACCTTACCTTTGCCTTCTACTAACCTCTGGACTCTGGTAACCACTATTTCAGTCTCCACATCTATGAGATCAACTTTTTAAGATTCCACCTATATGTGAAAGCATGCAGCATGTTTTTTCTGTGTCCGACTCATTTCACTCATGGATGTCCCCCAGATTCATTCATGTTGTTGCAAATGACAGGGCACCCTTCTTTTATAAGACTGAAGAGTACTCCATTATGTACAACACGCTTTCTTTATCCATTTCTTGGCTACTGTGAACAGTGCTGCTGTGAACATGGGGGCCCATATGTATTAGTTACTTTTCTGTTGCTATGATAAAACACCGTGACCAAGGCAACTTGTAAAAGGGTTTATTTAAGCTTATGGTTCCAGGGGTATGAGTTCACAATGGTAAAAGGGTTTATTTAAGCTTACGGTTCCAGGGGTATGAGTTCACAATGGCAAGGGAGGCATGGTGGTGGCAAAGGTAGCCAAGCAATCACATCTTCAAGCAGGCACAGGATGACAGCAGCTGCAAATCCCCCAAGGCTTAACAACTCTCAAAGCCCACCCCTAGTGAAGCACTTCCTCCAGTATGGCCACACCTCCCAAAGCCTCCCCAAACAGCGCCACCTACTGGGGACAAAATATCCAAATACTTGGAGCCTATGGGGGACATTCTCATTCAAACCACCATGCATTTGTTTGATATAATTTCACTTTTTTTGGATATATACTCAATAGTGAGATTGCTGAATTACATGGCAGTTCTATTTTCTTGAGGAATTTCTACACTGTTTCGTATGAGTGTACTAGTCTACATTCTCAACAGTATATAAGGGTTCCCTTTTTTCTCCTTTCTCACCAACTGTTATCCTTTGTCTTCTTGATGCTAGCCATTTGGCTGGAGTGAGCTGGTATCTCATTGTAGTTTTGTGTTGTGCTGATGGCTAGTGAGGTTGAGAACTTTTTTCACATACCTGTTGGAAGTCCTGGCCTCTTCTTAAAGGCCTCCCCATGGCTGTGGCACAGAACCAGTGCTGTGATAGCAGGCTTTACACTCTGCTGCATCTCTGAACATGTGAATATTTGGGTGTCAGGAAGCCAATGTGAACACAAGGGCTGCTGGAGAAAAGAGGGGCAGTCCTGTACCTAAGGAGAATGTAATTTAAATCGTATCTACTTCTCAGCTTCCAACTGTCAGGCAGAAGCCTCAATTTTAAATGTTAGTGACTAATACACTTAAGTACATACATACACACATGCACAAATTCTGTGAGCCAAAGAGAACACAGCTGCAGTCCAGCAGCAGTCCATGAGTGCCAGTTTGTGCCACTTAAGTCCAATATAGAGACTGACACTTTGCCATACTCTGTGGTCTGACCACACCAAAGGTGTGGTGCTCAGGTGTTGACATGTACCTAAAGGGACACATATGAGCTGGTGTACAAATAGGCAGGAAGGGAGGCTCTGTGTACACTTGTGGAGGTCAGAAAACAACCTTGGGTGTCAGTCCTCATCTACCACCTTGATCTCTTTTGTTGCTCTTCAATGAATATGCCAGGCTGGCTAACCCTGCAAACTTCTGGGGAATCCCCTGTCTCTCTCTCCCATATTGCCCTAAGAGCACTGGACTTACAGACATGTACTGTGGTGCCCAGCTTTTACATCGGTTCTGGGGATTTGAACTCAGAGACTCATATTTGCACAGCAAGCCCTTTACACATTGAGCCATCTCCCCGGCAGGATGGGAGACTCTGAACAGTTCAATCCCACTGTTTATGAATGGTCTTCTGTATGTGAGGCCCAGTATTTTTTGCCAGAGATACTAGGAAATAAGACCGTCACAGCTATACTCTTGAGGACCCTACTGCCATGAGGGGAGGTTAAAGAATCTGGGGGTAGCTTCCCCAAGACCAATGGAGGGCAGAATGTAATAGTAATAAGGCTATTTACTGAGCATCTGCTGTGCCAATACTACATTCAGTGTTTACCTGTCACTTCATTTTTATCAAGCTCTGAGGAAGGTGCTTTAACAATCCTTGTTTCATGATATGAAACTGAGGCTCAAGAAGGTCAGGTAAATCAGCCACCATGCAGCTATTCTCTATGATCAAGAACAGGACAGGCTCTCTGATGTACTTCAAAGGGCTTAATATAGGACCTTCTGCTATAAATATGTGCTAAGTAAATATTTGCTTCTTTCCTCATCTTTGGAGTCATTCAAGAACAAGCTGTACAGTCATTTATTAGGGGTGCTAGAGAGGGAGGCCAAGTATCAAATAGATAGAAATACTGTGCATGAATTTCCAACTATGTGATCCAGTAATTATTTCCCGTTGGCATTAACAGTGCAAGGCAACTATCTACCACTCCCCAACCCTCACAGGACAAAAGCACTGGTCTCACGGCTGGGCATCCAAGGCATTTCTAGAAAGGATATTGGCCAAGTCACTGGTGGACAAACCATCAATTAACAATATTGATCGAATGTCTGTGACACATAAAGCACATTGTTCTGAGTGTGCATAGCAGGAAAATGGCACAAGAAAGGACTTATTCCTGAGACGTCCTCCTGGTTTGTCACTATTTACTGTGTGACCTTGACATTTCTCCTAAGCCTTGGTTTCATCTCTTTACGACAGAGCAGGATGCCTCTAAAGTATTTCATGAACAACTAATATAAATTATTTACACTAAAAAATCAGATCTCAGATGTGAGAAGATTCACCTTTCTTCCTAGAAGCCAGAGAACCCTGAGAATGCAAAAGTCAGAATGAGGCAGGTTTGTGGTTCAGACCTGTAGTGCCAGCATTTGAGAGGTGAAGGCAGGAGGGCCAGGAGTTCAAGGTCACCCTTGGCTACATAGGCCAGCCTGGGATAAAGACTTTGTCTTCAAAAAAAAAAATAGCCGGGCATGGTAGCATATACCTTTAATCCCAGCACTCAGGAGACAGAGGCAGGTAGATCTAAGATCGAGGCCAGTCTGGTCTACAGAGTAAGTTACAGGCTAGCTGGGGCTACATAAGACCCTGTCTCAAAAACAAAACCAAAAGTACAAAATATACACCAAATTTTGAAAATTTAATATAACTGTAAAATATTAGTAATGCTTAAATTGCTTCCTATAGATTTTTTTTTTTGAGACAATGTCTCCCTGTAGTCCCAGCTGGCCTAGAACTCAACATATAGACCAGGCTGGGCTCATCTCAAAGAGATCTGCCTGCCTCTGCCTCCTGAGTGTTGAGATTAAAGGCATGTGCCACCATGCCCAGCTTCATATAGGTTTTTTTTTTTTAAAAAAAATAAACTGGGATAAATGTATTAAAACTAATCACTTTTTTAAAAAGCTTTTTTTAAAAATGGAAGTTCCTAGAAAATGTCAAATTAAAATACAGTTCCTATTATGTTTCTAGTGAACAGCACTGGTCTAAGTGGAAACTGAAGCCCAGAGAGAGAAAATGACTTTTCCAAAGTGCCAAGGCTGGCACCAGGGTCTCAGTCACAGCTCTTTAACAGGCTATGAGAGCCAGTCACCAAGATGGCTCCACCAGATCGTCACCTCTTGCAGCTCCTATGTGGTCCCTTCCACACTAAATAAGGCTCACTTGTAAGAATAATACAGAAAGGATCATGTGACTTTCAAAGTTAGATCATGGTAGTGCCTAGCTTGTCCTCTCTAACATCACTTGCTCTGAGAAGCCTGTGCCTGTCATGAGAACATACAAGCAGCCCTACAGTAGAGCCCACACAGTAAGGAACTGAGGCCTCCTGTCAACAACTAGAAACAACTAAGCTAGATGGAGTGACCCATCTTGGAAGCTGTCCTCCAGTTAAGCCTTCCAACGAGAGTTGACACCTTTAAGGCAAGCTCATGTAAGAGTCTAATCCAGATAAGCTGCTCCCAAATTCCTGATCCACAAACAATGAGCAAGAGCTAACAGGCATTCTTACAAACCTAGGGATCTCATGCATGAAAATCTTATCGCCATAGCATCTCTGTGGAAGGAGAAATCATTCTCGTTTTTTCTGGCCTACTTCATGCTAACTCAAGCAAAAACAGGTAAGGTATAAAACTTGGGGGATTCAACCTTTGAAGAAGCTTTTCCATTTATTGAAGAAAGCACCAGGGCCTACTGAGAATGAAAATAGTATATCACATCATTTTCACCTGGGCCACTCAGAGATCTGATCTTCTAAAACTCAAAGGATTCAGAGACCAAAATTGCTCAATTAGATGTAGCACTGAGGAAGTTAAAAGGAACTGAGAAGTGACAGTTCATGACACTGGAGTTTCTCTCAGGTGAGAAACCAGGGTCGTGATAAAGCTTTATGTAGTACAAGGCTTTTCATAGTGTTTTCACATCTAGCATCCCTGAGGTAGATGGGGGGAACACAAGCAATAGCTCAGAGCTCATGATCTGTCTGTGGTCTCACGTCAGTAAAATTACACAGCAGTTCTAGAATCGGCTTCGGGTGACTGTACTCAGACTTGGTGCCTTCTACCACAGGACCATCCTGGCTGGACTAAGGGAAACAAATGCTCTTCAGTTTGGGCTGTCCTCTGAGATCAGTGTGCACTTGAAAGTCTCCTTGAAGGCCACAAGGAAAGGTGGCATTACTTCACCCACAGTGACAAGCCTCTGCAGCTCCTTACTCAGCGAAGTGACTCCTGTCCCAACCAGTCCACAGGGCACAATGTGCTCAAACCACGTGAGGTCCGTAGAACAGTTTAGAGCCAGGCCATGGGATGTTATGTGTCTTCCACAACGGACTCCTGTAAGGCAAGCCAAAAGATCTTAGAATAGGTATCCTTCCCTTCCCACAGCCTTGGGATCCCTCTAGTACAGTAAGGGAACTGGGCCAGACAACTGGTTTTCTGACTTTGTCTTTGGAGCATGAAATGGAACAGAGACTGGGTGACGGGCTAAGTTTGCTGGAGGCGGGGAGGGTGGAGTTACGTATCAGCTGCCCTTGTTATAGAGATTCCTTTAACACAGAGCTCGTGCTGCTTTGAACATTTGAACATTAACGTCCTATCGTCCCGCGGTGATTCATGGAAGTAACCTGGTAATTCATCCTGGTGTTTCTACCACCATGAGTATCGAACTACACACCCTCTGATGGCTCTTCTACCTCGGAATATAAACTACCACTGAAGAGAGTCCAGTGACTCACATACAGTGCCCCGGCCTCAGGCTCCACCCCGCGGCGCTCACCTATGGCGCAGATCTTGCGCTCCGCCAGCCAGACACCAGTGTAGGGCGGGGGTCGCGCGCGGGCGCCGCGCAGGCCCTGCAGCTCGCACAGTCGCACTGCGCAGGCCTCCAGCGCCGCCACGTGAGTGCGCAGGCGCAGGCCGAGGCGCCGCAGGTCGAGAACAGGGTGGCAGAGCAGCTGGCCGGGTCCGTGGAAGGTGGCCAGGCCGCCGCGTCCTGTGGCGTGCACCTCGGCGCCTAAGGCCCGCAGCCGCGCAGTTTCCTCAGGCGTCAGCCCACCGCGCAGCCCGCCGGTGTACGCAGGCCCCGCTGGCTCGCAGAGCAGGAGCGTGCCCGCCTCAGCAACCGACGGGGCTTGGGGGCTGGGGTCGGCCTGTAGTCGCCGCAGCAAACGCTCCTGCAGCGCCAGCAGCTCGGAGGACTGCACCCGGCCGAGCCACAC